ACAAAACACCACATGGCGTATTCGGTGCAATCCAGTTATTCAAGATTAATTCATATATGAACACAGACAAAGGCCTAAACCTCCACTACACAATGCAATGTGCAGTGTGCAACTCCACAGCTGACGACAACGATATTGTAACATCGGCTGGGTTTGGTGTCACGCAGCTGACGTTACAATAGTAAGTGTCAGAAATCTCAGCTCACTGCTCACTACTAAATTACTGGGCGTCTATTATAAAGGCAGGAGTGAATGAGCGAACAAGGCGGTGATTTCAGATGCAGAACGTTTTTAGAAATAGTCTCGCTTCTAACTCAGACTGTGACTTTCTGTTCCTGGCTCCATCCATGAAATGGTGTGACCTTTGTGGATTGGAGAAGAAGAATACATTTATCTAAATCAGGAATAAACTGACATGGTGAGAAAACAGTCATTTCCTTTTTTGCTGAGAGTTAGTTGTTATAGGTGTCACTCTCATATTTCTGGTTAGCTTGTCTGGCTCCATTCAAAGGAAACACAATCCAGCCATCAGCAGCTCTAAAGCTCATGAATCAACATGTTGCATCTCTGTTTTATATGTAGAAAAACCAAAGTGTAAAACCAAAAACGTTCTGGCTCGTGGCCAAGAAACAGCAAAGCGTCATGTTTACACTTTAGTTTTTGTACAGAGAGGGGCATCGATCTTTTCATTTAATTCATGACAGTATGTCACAAATGTCAAGAGACTTTAGTTGAAGAGAAACAGACCGAATGAAGAAGGAATGAAACACTTCCTCCTCGGTCCGCACCCTAACTTTCCATTAATGTGAAAACAAAACAAGAAGTTTATGAGATGCCCTTTTTGGTTTTGGTTCCCATAAACTGCACTTAAGATGAGACATGACTGATCCCTGCAGGGATTTAGGCTGCTGCAGCAACAGAGCTGGGGACAATGAAATAAACATGTCCCAGCAGTGTGGATTATTAACACCACCATTAACTGTGACTGCACTTGTTCTGCTCCATGTCTGTACTTGTGTGGTTGGAAATATGTCCCATCTCTGGGCTCTGGTTCAGAAAAAAGAAAAGCTGAGGTTAATTCAGGCTCAGCTGTTCAGTAGGGAGGGGCAGACCTGAGAGCCGCCTGCTATCAACCTCTGTACAGCCCCTTTGCCACCGCCTGATACCGGCTCAGCTCGACTCGCTTTTGGTACCAGGTGCTTGGTTTCCACTGCAGACTGTCCCCTCTCAGTGGAGCTGGTTGTCCTAGTGACATCACTTAACACTGCCGCTATGTCGTCATCAACCAACACAGTAACAATGGAGGACATCGAAGCTGTTTCTTGTCAGTACAGCAACTGCAGTAAAGGAGCTGTTAGAGTGAAATAATCTTGCTTTTAAAAATGGTTTAAAAATATGTGTCTGTATACTGGGCTGAAACCAGTGTAGCTCCTGGTTTGGCCCACAAGCCTATCAATGCCAGATGTTAGTGATGCCCCTGTGTGTGTGTGCCTGTCAGCAGATGGTGTGTGTCTGTCACACACACACACACACACACACACACACACACACACACACACACACACACACACCGTCTTCCATTATCAGTTCCCAATCACCAGTTATTCACACCAGGAGACTGAAACCAGTGAGAGAGAGAGAAAAAACAAATCTACTGGAAAATCAGACAAATTAATAAAAGTCTGATCGAACCTTCAACTGTTTGTAAAATGAGCTGTGTGTAGAAAATGAAAAAGAAGCAGAGCAGCTAAATCCTTCAGAGGAGCTGTGTAATAAGAGGCCAACAGAGAACAGCTGGTGTTGTACTAGAAGTGCATGTGTGTGTGTGTGCATGCGTGGGTGGGCCCAAAAAGCTCTGCATGGGGGCCTCCAACCCTTTGTTGCAAGGGGGAATATCATTAGAGTCTGAAGCTCCTTATAGCCCAGGAACAGTGAGAAGGAGGGAGATGCCAAGTGAGGGAGAGGAAGAAGGGGACCCTGGGGATGCAGCAGGAAAGTGGTGGCAATGACCAGCAACACCTGCCAGCTCACACAAATGTACACAGAGTGTGTGTCCATCTGTTGTGGATACACGTGTCGATTGCTGGGCGTGCAACTGTGAACCTGATTCATCAGTAGGCGGAGGAGGCTCTGACTGGTGTAGTTCTCTGCTGCAGCCAGCAGGTGGAGCAGCATAGCCCCTTCAGACTCACTGGGGTGATGAGATGGAGGAAGACTGTAATTCAATATACTAATAAGATAAAACTTTATTGATCCCCAGAGTGAAATTCAGATTACAGAGGCGGGTGGAGAGGTAAGACGGCAGATATAGAGATATTAAAATGGAAGAAATAAAAACTAATTAAGAAAGAAAAAACAGGATGACAATAGATGACATTTGTGCAAAAGAAATCCAGCAGTGCATGATGTCTGAACCATGTTTACTGCCTCAGAGAAGCAACACAAAGTGTTGAGAAAAGGAAGGACATTCTCCAGGAAGGAGGGGGCTGCGCTGTTCATTCATAGGAACTGGACGTGATGTCAGACCCTCGCTGAGCTGCAGGTATTTTTAGTGGCGTCCTGATCAGGTTTCCTATGCACTGTGAGCTGTAGGGTCTTATATAGACAGGTGTGTGGCTTTCCTAATCACGTCCAATCAGTATAATCAAACACAGCTGGACTCAAATGAAGGTGTAGAACCATCTCAGGGATGATCAGAAGAAATGGACAGCACCTAAGTTAAATATATGAGTGTCACAGCAAAGGGTCTGAATACTTATGACCATGTGATATTTCAGTTTTTCTTTTTTAACAAATCTGCAAAAATGTCAAAAATTCTGTGTTTTTCTGTCAATATGGGGTGCTGTGTGTACATTAATGAGGAAAAAA